TTATTTAATTAAATGTTTATACCAGCTCTCTGCTAGTCATTATACTCTAATGAACAAAAAAACCCTGGTTTTTGACCTCATGTAAGAGTGCAGCTTTGATAAGTTCCACAGAGACACACGGTATGAGAAGACATAATAGGAGAAAGGAACATTTGATGGAAGCTCTGGGACTGCGTAGGAACTACCTAGACTGGAGAAAAGAGGGAGCACCATTCCCAGGAGCTGAAGCAGTGTGGTTTAAAGTTCTAGGGTATAAGGAACATAGTATTAGAAAGGATGGAGCAAAGGTCTGTGAGGCTGGAAGAGAGTGAGGGAGCATGTGATCAAAGAGAGTTAGAAAGGGCCCAGAGCATGCAGGGCCTTCAAGGAATGGAAGCCTTGAAGGGTTTTTGGAATAATTGCTTAGGTAGCAGAATGGAGAGTGAATTGAGGGGAAGTAAGAGTGGATGAGGGAGATGAGGTAGATGGAAGACCACTGTAGCCGTCCAGGTGAGATGTGAAGAAGAAAAAAGATTGGATTCAAGAGGTATTTAGGAAGCAAAACATTAAAGACTTGGTGATAGATTGGAAGTGTGGAGTAAATGGAGAGGAGAGGGACTTCTCAAGGATGGTTCCTAGGTTGCTGGCTGTCCCCATTGATGAGGTGTTCTTCCCTAAAGAAACACTAGAACAGGAACCTGTTTGCTGAAGAAGAGTAGGGGTGTGCATATTGAGGATGAGATGCCTCTGAATCTTCTGAGAGGAGATGTCATCAAGGGAGCTGTAGTTCTGGGTCTGGAGCTTGAGAAGAGGCCTGGGCTGCAGCTGTAGACTTGTGAGTCATCATCCCATGAGTGGCAACTGCAGCCATGGGTGTGGCTGGAATCACCTGTTTAGAGCAGCGCTATCCAACAGAAACAGAATACCAGCTACAGATGTAATTTTTAATTTTCTAGTGGCCACATTAGAAAAGGAAAAAGAGAAGCAGATGAAATTAATTTTAATTATATTTTTAACCCAGAACATCAACAAATACTGTCATTTCTATATATTATCAATATTTAAAAATTAAGAGATTCCAATTGGAACTTCATTCATACAAAAATTTCTGTGAGCCCTGGCTGGTGTGGCTCGGTTGGAACGTTGTCTTGTGGAGCAGAGGGTCATGAGTTCAATTCCTGGTCAGGGAACATGTCTGGGTAGCAGGTTTGGTTCCCAGTTGTGGCGCATACTTGAGGCAGTTAATCGGTGTTTCTGTCTCACATCGGTGTTTCTCTCCTTCTCTCTTTCCCTCCCTCCCCTGTCTCTAAAATCAATAAGCATGTCCTCAGGTGAGGATAAAAAATACTTCTTGGAAATTGTATATGTATTATTTTACACAGCCCACATCTCAGTTTGGACCCACCACATTTCAAGTGGTAGTCATTCACACATGGCTCTTTTTTAGAACAGTGTAGGTCTAAAGAGACAAAATCAGGAGAGAAAAAGAAAAGCTCTTGAGGCTGAGCATTAAGGGATCTGATGATTAATTTTATTTGCCAGGAAGAGGAGGATGAACTTACTCTATTTCTTAACCATCCTAGCTATCTATATCTATATCTATGTCTGTGTCTGTGTCTATGTCTATACCTATACCTATACCTATACCTATATCTACATCTATATACATATATATGTCTTTATATACAACTGTAACTTCAAATTATGTGTGTTTTTTTTGTCCCAGGAGGCAGGAGAGAGAACTTTAACTACAAAGGGAGATTTAACTCTTAGCTTCACTTTGGTGTCTTTAAAAGACCTGGTGCATTTCTCTGAAATATATTTCACTAAATAACTTATAGCATAAACATCATATCATTAATGTCAATGGCATGTTTGAAATATTTTTAGGATTTATATTGCAGTTTTACTTTAATGTTAATAATAATGTATTACATGTAATAATGTTTCACATTTTTAATGTTATTTCATATGTATTTAATTTGAGATCCCTAAAGAGGAATAAAGTATGTAAGTGGTTTATCTATTTAAATACTTCTTCCTAGTTTCTTGTATTTTTAATATAATTGGAATATAATTAGAGGAAAGAAGTTTTAAAAGAATGTTTAAGATTGTCATATCTCCCTAAACCAGGCTAGGAAATAAGAGGGTTTATTTTTTTTACTTTTCAGTTGCTTTAATATTATTTGACAGCAGGAGGTTAGTGTCCAACTTAACCGTAGTTATTTTTTCTTTCAGGACAATATAGGAGAGCTTGATCTTGATAAACAATCTGAACTTAGAGCTTTAAGGAAAAAAGAACTAGATGAAGAAGAAAGCGTTAGGAAAAAAGCTGTGCAGTTTGGAACCGGTGAACTCTGTGACGCAATCTCTGCAGTAGAAGAGAAAGTGAGCTATTTGAGACCTTTAGATTTTGAAGAAGCCAGAGAACTTTTCTTACTGGGTCAGCACTATGTCTCTGAGGCAAAAGAGTTCTTTCAGATTGACGGTTATGTCACTGACCATATTGAAGTTGTCCAGGACCACAGTGCTCTGTTTAAGGTGCTTGCATTCTTTGAAACTGACATGGAGAGACGATGCAAGATGCATAAACGTAGGATAGCCATGCTAGAGCCCCTAATTGTGGACCTGAATCCACAGTATTATCTGTTGGTCAACAGACAGATTCAGTTTGAAATTGCTCATGCTTACTATGATATGATGGATTTGAAGGTGGCCATTGCCGACAAGCTGAGGGATCCTGATTCACACATCATAAAAAAAATAAATAATCTTAATAAATCAGCATTGAAGTACTACCAGCTCTTCCTAGACTCCCTGAGAGACCCAAATAAAGTATTTCCCGAGCATATAGGGGAAGATGTTCTTCGTCCTGCCATGTTAGCTAAGTTTCGAGTTGCCCGTCTTTATGGCAGAATCATCACTTCAGATCCCAAGAAAGAACTAGAAAATTTGGCAACATCGTTGGAACATTACAAATTCATTGTTGATTACTGTGAAAAGCACCCTGAGGCTGCGCAGGAAATAGAAGTTGAGCTAGAACTTAGTAAAGAGATGGTGAGTCTTCTTCCAACAAAAATGGAGAGATTCAGAACCAAGATGGCCCTGACCTAATAATCCTCATTTTTAAGGAAAGGACACGTGCAATATTGAAGAGATTTTTTTCCCTTACTGAAATGGGCCCAATTCCATCGTGATACTTTTGTAGCCAGATGAGTACAGTTTGAACTTGATATATAGTCAGACCAACTGAGTCTCTACTAGGACCTTAACATAAAGATAATAAGTTAACACCAAATTATGTAAATTGCCTTGTTAAAGTGACATGTGATTGGCATTTTAAATTGCTTGTTTCCTATTTAAATATAAACCTTTCCTGACTCATTTTCTAAAGATAGGTGCTTTGTTGTCTAGTACTTGAGAGATTCTCTAAGAGGAAAATTGCTGAGTAACATACCTGGTAGACAAGCCTGTTATATTAAAATGGAAAAAGTAACTTCCTGTAGTTATTTTTTCCAAAGTATTTACTTTCCTAAATTCCCAAAGAAATCTTTTCTCTTTGAAAATATTAAAAAACTAAGTTATGTTGTTGTAAAGTATTGTAGTTTGTCTCATTTATAGGAGGAAAAATGCCTTGTTGGAAATATAATAAAATGACTTGTTTCACTAATAAAAGCATTCATTTACTCTTATTTTCTCCTAAGAATTGATTTGTTGTTGTTATTATTATTATTATTATTATTATTATTATTTAGAGAGAGGGCGAGGGAGGGAGAAAGAGGGAGAGAAACATATATCAGTTGCCTTTCACATGGTCCCAGCTGAGGACCTGGCCCACAACCCAGGTGTGTGCCGTGACTGGGAATCGAACTGACAACCTTTCAATTCGCAGGCTGTCGCCCAATCCACCAAGCCGCACCACCCAGGGCAAGAATCAGTATTTGATACTTTGGAGGTATTTCCATAATTTGAAGCCAGAGAAGAATATTTCTTCAGTAACATTGCACAGGTTGAAACATTTACATCTCATTTATTGAATAAATATTGAGATACTACCATGTGCCAGAAAAATATTAATTGGCTGTTGTTTCTCATCAGAGGAGCCTGGTATATTTTATAAATCTTTAAGAACTGTTGGAAAAGGATATGTACTTCATAATAACATTGTTTGTTTGTTTTTTAAGATTTTACTTATTTTTAGAGGGAGGAGAAGGAAGGGAGAAAGAGAGGGGGAGAAACATCGATGTGTGAGAGAAACATCAATTGGCTGCCTCTTGCTCACCCCACCTGGGGACCTGGCCCGCAACCTAGGCAGGTGCCCTGTCAGGGAATAGAACTGGTGACCCTTTGGTTCATAGGCTGGTGCTCAATCCACTGAGCCACACTAGCCAGGACATAACATTGTCAATATATCTTAGTCATTTTAAGACACGCAGAATTGAAATGGAGTCCCTTTCCAGTGCAAAAATTAAGATCAGTTGTAAAAAGTGATACAGAGAATATATGTATGTTGACTTGCTTATTAATTTGCTCAGAAAACTTAGAACTAGGTCACCCCTAAGATTCTGTAACCTTTATATATGTGTGATAAACACCTTACTTTTTCTTTGAGGTCGATCTGCCAAGAAAAAAACCTTTTAGTGTAGTAACAATGTGTAATGCCTTCAATATTTAGTATTTATTAAATGTCTACCATGGGTCAGGCACTGTTCTCATATTTCTAAGTGTGGAGTAATGAGCAAGATAAACAAGGTCCTGCTTTCCTGGAGAAAGTAAACAGTAGGCAAGATAATTTCAGGTTATGAGTGTTATTCAGAAAGGAACCAGAGAGATAACGGTCAACATTTATGAGAAGGGGGTCTTCTTTAGCTCCAGTGCTCTGAAAAGGTGGGAGTTGACATTGAGCTGAGAGCCCGTTGGGGAAAAAAAGGCAACAAAGTAAAGGTTCCTTGGTGGAGTATTCCAGAGAATGCTAGACCCTCAAGCTTTGGAAGGCGTTGGGCATTTTATTTATTTATTTTTCCTACAGTTATTTTCAGGACCTTAATGATTTCAAGGTCTTTAAGGCTCCTAACATGGTTTTACTATTGCCAACTTTCTCTCAATTTCTGCAGAAACACTTTCAGGTAAGCAGACTCATTGGCTGGCTTGGCACTGGGCATTTTAGAAGATGGAAAAGGCCAGTGTGGCTGGCGCCGAAGGTGATGGGGAGTGGGAGGGAGTGGGGCAGGGGTAGGGGTAAGGAGCCCAGATCAGGAGACTTTGTAGGTAAGGGAGAGGAGTTCGGATTTTATTCTAGGTACACTGGGAAGCTTCATTGTTAAGAACTGTTAAGAGGAGAGTGGCATGATCTGATTGGCACTTTTAGGAAACCACTCCAGCTCCTGCGGGAGACTAGCTTGTAGGGGGCGGGGTTGGTGCCAGCGGGGAAGCTGGAAGACAAGCTAGGTTCAATTAAGATTAATCCAAGAGAGTTGGTCTAGGGTGATAGAATAGGGATTGACAGAAGTGAATAAATACAGGTTGTACTTTGGAAGTAGAATCACAGGACATGCTAAAAAATTACATGTAGACCATGAGGGGGGAAAAATCAAGAACATGTTGAAATACGTAGGAGAAGCATGTTTTTATGAGGGAGATGGTGGGGTTAAAAGTTAAGAGTTCTGGTTAGCTCATAGAATGAGTTTGATTTTTTTAATCCTTACCCAAGGACATGTTTATTGATCTTTTTTAGAGAGAGAGGAAGGGAGAGAGAAACATCCATCAGTTGTCTCCTGTACGTGCCCCAAATAGAGATCAAACCCACAACCTAGGGATGTGCCCTGACTGGGGATCGAACTCACAACCTCTTGGGTCGATGCACAACGAACTGAGCCACTGACCAGGGCAGGTCATACTGAGTTCGGATGCTTGAGAAAAAATGATTGCTAATATCCCTTCATCAGACTTTAAAAGGAAAGAGGATCAAGAGGTGGCAAAGGAGAAAGCAATTTCTTGGGTATGGTGATAACGGCTCTGCATCCCAGTTACTATCATTATAAGCCTTTCCTGATAGAGTGATTTTGCTACCAACCTCATTCAACTTAGTGACTTCGCTTATATAGTCATTCATTTGTTTTAACAAATAACTTACTGAGCTCTTCTTCTGTGCTAGCCATTGTGCTAAGCTCTGAGAATATGATCTGTAAGTCACAGCCTCTAAAATCATGTTAGCTTTTCTTCTTTCCAACAGTGTTATCAAGGTGAATTCACAGGGGAAAGTGGTGGCGGGGAAATGGAGACAAATGTATTTAAACAATAAAATTTTTTTTAAAGTTGAATTCAAAAGATAAAATTCAAGTATAACAGGCACTGGTCTTAAAACCATTCTTTACCTAATACCCATCAACATACTCTGCTGTTTGTCATTTACTGTTTGTAGTGACTTCACATTTTAAGATTTTATCTTTAGTTACAGTAGAAAATCTCGTTGGCTGGTTTGCAATCTTGCACTGTACTCCTTTAGCCTATTCCACAAACTGCTTCCCCTGAGCACAGCTTCCCAAAGACAGCTGCCCTCTGAGAATTCATTGCTTATCTAGATTTTAGCAGTTGTCAGACATTTTGATCTCAAAGCTCCTTTGTACTTACAATTGAGGATGCCACCCTAGTGGGGCAACTCGGTTAGAGCGCTGTTCTGATATGCCAAGTTTGTGGGTTCGATCCCTGATCATGGCACGTACAAGAATCAACCAATGAACACGTAAGTAAGTGGAACAACAAATCTGTTTTACTCTTTCTCTCCCTTGCTCTCTCAAAGGAATAAATTTAAAAATTAAAATTGAGAATGCCAAAGAGCGTTTATTTATATAGGTTATATCTTTATATTTACCCTATTTGAAATTCAAATTAAGAAAATTTTAACAATTTATGTTCAAATGACAACAATAAACTCATTGGACTTAAACAGAATCATTTATAAACAATTATTTTCCAAAAAAAAAAGTGGCATATTCTACATTTTTTGTAAATATCTTTAAAGTTTGGCTTAATAGGAAAGAGGTTGATTTTCATAACTGGTATAACATGTCATGTAGCCTTGGAAAACTCCACTGCACTGCACTCATGAGAGAGTGAGGTTGAAAAAGGTAATGTCTTCTGATTATTAAAATAGTTTCATTGGGATCACCTGCCCACTTGGAGGTTCCCCAGAACCCTTTGAGAACTGGTACCCTAACCTGTTCTGTGTTGGGCACTGCGCAGAATAGATGTTCAAAGTAGGAAACTTAAAACAGCGGTGGCTGGTCTAGGTCTCACGTCCAAAGGAAAACTTGAATCCCTCTATTACTTAGTACACACTGATTTTGGTTCAATCTGGAGTCATGGCAATGGCATGTCTTTAATTGTTAGTTTATCATGGAATATATCAAGTTTCTTGGCAACACTGGATTCTTTTAATATGTTTTGGAGCATTTGAGATCTTGCTCCCTGGCATATGCCATCAGTATGGCCTAAATAATCTCTCATAAAAATTTTAAAAATACATATTGTTTCATTTGCTTGAACTCTGACAAAGCCGTGTCATCTTTTTTTTTTATCCCTATTATTAGAGAGTCACTAAAGAGTAATAGAGGCTCTCCCTTACACAGTTGGTTGTTATTCTGGGCTAATTTTGTAAAATCTCACATGAAATATATAGGCCCAGAACCTTTAGAAGTGTAGCATCATGATGGAATTTGTATTAGAATAAATGACCTACCACAACCATAGATTTCAAATAACCTTTTGTTCCTCTTTTCCTTACCCCTGAAACCAATTATTAGGGCAAGACTAAATATTGAGCTAATAAGAAATAACTTTTAAAAATATTTTATTTATTTATGTTTAGGGAGAAGGGAAGAGAGGGACAGAGAGGGGGAGAGAAACATCCGTGCGTGAGATCATTTGCCTCTCGCACGCCCCAAGCTGGGGACCTGGCCCACAACCCACGCATGTGCCCTGATCAGAAATCAAACTGGCGACCCCTCAGTTTGCAAGACAATGCCCAGCCCATTGAACCTCACCAATCAGGGCTTAAAAAAATGATTTTTGACATAAAATTCCTTTGCAATTTTCTTCTTCATTTTGCTAGATTTAGACAGCTAATAGGCTTAAATGCATCATTCATTCATTCACTTCATTTATTCATGTATTCAATAAGTATATATTGAATGCCTACTTAGAAAACTACATAATACCTGAGCAGTTGTCTGAGAAAAACAATGAAATTTGTATGTATGTGAATTTTAGGGTCTTACGGTATAGATTATCTTTTGGGGGGAACCCTAGTTATTAATAACATTTGTTTAAATGCCAATCTCATTATTATTTTTGGGGAACCACACTGGACAAAGGAGAGACTTTTCCTCTTCCCTTGCAGTTCCTCTGGGAAAGGTGTTGCAGTTGCCTGTAACTCAGTGGACTCTTCTAGGTTATCTACATCTCGTTCATCTCTGCTCCTCGGATTACAATTTGAACCAAAGCTGTCAACTTCTCCCTGAGTCATGTGAATGGGCTTGATAAATATATATTTTTGTTTGTGATTAGAAAATACACATATCCACAGTTCAAATGATATTAGTTTTGGCCAATTAAATATCTTCTGATACTTGGGGTTGGCACACTTTCTATAAAGGGCCAGATGGTAAATATTTTAGACTTTTCAGGCCCTACCAGTCTTGCAGCTATTCAATGTGGTTGTGAAAGCAGCTGTAGGCAATGTATAAATGAATGAACATGCCTATGTTCTAACAAAACTTTAAACAAGAGACCTGGCAGAGTAGCTTACTTGGTTAGAGTTTTGTCCTGATATGCCAAAGTTGCGGGTTTGATTCCTCTGGTCAGGGTACATATAAGATGCAACCAATGAATGCATAAATAAGTGGAACAACAAATTAATGTTTTTCTCTCTCTCAAATCAATAAATAAACATTTTTTTTTTTAAAAAAAAGACCTTTACTGCCCTGGCTGGTGTGGCTCAGTGGATTGAGTGCCAGCTTGCAGACCAAAGGGTCGTTGGTTTGATTCCCAGTTGAGCCACGTTCCTGGGCTGCAGGCCAGGTCCCCAGCTGGGGACACATAAGAGCCAACCAATCAATGTTTTTCTCACACATCAATGTTTCTCTCCCCCTCTCCCTCCCTTCTCCCTCTCTAAAAATAAATAAATAAAATCTTTTCTTTAAAAAAAGAAAGAACTTTACTCATGAAAACAGGTGGTTTACTCATGAAAACAAGTGGCAGGCCAGATTTGGCCCGTAGGCATTGTTTTGCCAACTCTTGCCTTTTCTGGTTTACTTTTAGAGTTTCTTTATACCTTATATACAATGTAGTTATAAAAGCTAATGTTATTGAGCATTATACCTAAGATCATATTTTCAATAATAGGTTTAGGGAATTGTTTTCTAGAGTCAAGTCCCAGGATGACCTGCATCAGGATCACGTAGAAGTACTTGTTAAAATGCAGACTCCCATGATCTAGCCCAGAACTAATAAGAAACTCTGGGGTTGAGGTCCAGGAATCTACATTTTAGTAGTACCACATGTGATTCTTATGTACATTAAGTGCAAGAACCTCTGCTCTTAGAATTACAAGAAGGATGCCAGAGCTGGAGCACATTGGAGCATCTTTTATAGGGAGTAGCATCCTGAACCAGAAAGTTATTCTGTGCCTTTGGTTTCTAACGAGAACCCAGCCCGGAGACAGAGGGACAAAAATGAACATTCCCAGCGGTTTTAGGTAGCCAAAGAGCTGCAAGTCTTTCCTCCTAGTTCTTTAAAGACTTCCTCCTGTACCAGGAGGAGAATTCTGCTGGGTACATGCCAGTGTGGGGCTGAGACTGGTAAGCACAGCATTAAGTCTCTCAGGACCCAAGGAGAAGCCGTCTAGATGAAAGCTAGGGACTCCCTAATGACCCCTGCAGAATACCCTAGAATGCCTCAAGGGAGGCCAGGAAAAGGAAGGAGGTTGTTTGATGAGGAACACAGACTCAGCAAGCAGAAACTCTTGGGGCATTTGAATGGAAATACCCATATGGTTGTCCCAGTGACCTGGTGTTAACTACTCAGCATGCAAAGTCAGCACTATCTCTCAGGATCTGACAAATTTGGGGTGGAGTAAATATTCAGATTCCCC